TTAAAGAAGAAAACATTAGAGTAAAAGTTAACAAAAATGAACTGTTAGAGGCAATTATGATCGAAAACTTCATTAAAAATTATTAATTCACGTGCTTGCCCAAAAGAAGATGTGACATTGTCGTATAAACTCATAAACTATAACAAAAAAAGTAAAATTTTGCAGTATAATTTTATGCTGACAGTGGAGTGATTGCAAGTCTGAAATTTTATTGCTGAAGCGTAACCTCAATAGCTTGATAGTAGTTCAACTTTTTTTTGTGACTCGTATACTAATTTGCAGCATCTATACTACCTATTTCTTTATTCATTTCATGTTGCTTGCGATATCTGTTCATCCTTTTCTCTTCCAAATCTTCCTTGAAATCCGTCAATTTTTGTACATGGCTTTTTTTCGAACGTGAGCCTAGAAAGCTTACGACACACGATTTGTACTATAAGGAATGAATATCCCTCTAACTTCGTCTATAGGTTCTACATTAAATCAGTAAAGAAGTTTAGGCGTAGGACAAAATCTGGACCATATGAATTTCGGTATAAGAGAACTCTATAATTTACCGAGGATAAGTTACGGAGTTTTGATAAAATGGAAACTGATTGTAATACAGTGAGTTTACTTAAGCCCTAAGTCATCTCAATTTAAATTACTGTAGGGGTAAGTAAGATTCAACTAAATGAGCTTTACATGCAAGTGTTCTGCGTGGATCAACCTGTACGTCAGGCCGTTAAATGGCTGTAATAAGCCTCTCTCCTAAAATCATCCCTATGCTTCAGAGTGTGATGAACTCAACAGTCTTCCTGGATGTAGCTACCCATGCAACAGCTAGCTACTTCACTTAAAATAGTCTTGCTCATTCAATAAGCTCTTGTCAACTTCTCTGCGGCTTCATTTCAGGCAAAGCCTAGGTCTGGGTAGAAAATTAAATTCTTTGCTTATTCGCCTTCCATAATTTCTAGCATGAGACATAGCTCTCATAAGCAGAAGTATCAGTTATAAGAAAATTAACCTGCACGTCAGACCGTCAAATATAAGATACAGCAACTATATTTACCTCTGTTTTCAAACCCCATGAAGTTCTCAAATCTTCCTTTTTTTAAATGTGTCACGTTTGAAAAAAAGCCATGAACAAAAATTGACGGATTTCAAGGAAGATTTGGAAGAGAAAAGGATGAACAGATATCGCAAGCAACATGAAATGAATAAAGAAATAGGTAGTATAGATGCTGCAAATTAGTATACGAGTCACAAAAAAAAGTTGAACTACTATCAAGCTATTGAGGTTACGCTTCAGCAATAAAATTTCAGACTTGCAATCACTCCACTGTCAGCATAAAATTATACTGCAAAATTTTACTTTTTTTAATGCAAAATGGACAGACCAGGAGGAAATCAGTATTATTTTATTTAAAGAAAAAAAGAAAACATATCCAATTATATAAACAGCAGATTAATCAGGCGCTGCCAATATTTAAAGAATCACGAGTTTTGAGGAGACCTGAGACGAGGCCGATTAGAGAGAAAAGAACACAGGAGAAGCAGATATTTCATAAAACCATGACACCAATGTTATAGCAAAATCTGAAATCTCACTGATCTGAAATTTTGCTGAGGCTCCAAGCTGATAGAATATAGAAAACTCGAAAATTTAATATTCTATAGAGAATAACTTATTTCAACCAGCACAAGATGACTGATCAAGGAACACCCCTAAAGAATAATCAAAACCCTCTTTCGGGTCAATCTGCCCTTTGGCCTCCCAAAAAAAAAACATACCCTTAGTTTTACCAAAATAGTTGAAACAAAGGACATACAATCCTAACTGTTATTGAGTCCCGGAAATGTTTTTTTTTTTTTTTTTGATTAATGTGTTATCAAAAAAGGTTCGTGTCCCTTTATTCAAAATTTGTACCGCAAAATTTTGACTTTGTTATTAAGTTTTTCCCCGTTTCTTTTTTTTTTAAACTGTATTCCTGACGCCACTCAACTGGAGTGAGAACGTCGATAGCTCACGATTAATTTCCTTTCTAATAAATTTAATTGCCTTTATACTTTCCAGAAATGACAACAGTTTTAACCCATCGGCAAATTATAGTTCGCTCGAATTCAATCAAGTTTGCTAAGTGCAATGCTATTCCTGCATTTTAGTCATTTTGCAGTCTTTACGTAATAAATAGCATTTTTCGAAGCAAATATCAATCTATGTAATTGATTTTTAAACCTTTTAAATCTCACTTCTTAGGAATTTTGATATTTTTTCCCTCTCTTTATGATTTTACTACATCACTCTACCCTTTAAACAGTTCTAGGTTCAACTAGTCATTCCAGCCGAATTTGTATACCTTCATCTTCTAACCATAATAATTTCAATATTATTATTCTTCTCTTTGCTTATTTCGTTCTCACCGTCCCTTCACTAGGTTTTTAACTATTGGGTTTGCATTCTCTAGAATTTTCACACGTTCAACTTTAAATGCTCTATCATTTTCAGCAAAGACGTTATAGACGAGCATCCGAATTGCTGTACCACATCGATATACTACACTCTTTTCCTTATCTAGTCTTTTTATCAAATCAATTAGCATCCCCGTTCATAACTCAAAGCTATTCGGTGGTCTTGGCCTGTATTTTTCAAAAACCATCTCAGCTTACAACTATCTTGTACAAACCTCAACATTCTTAAAATGACCTAAGAACCTAACCGTTGTTCTTCTTGGAAAAGCGCTGTTTTATCCCGGCAACTTCCAAACTTCAGTACAACTCAACATTTTAGCCCGATTGTTGTACATTGACGGGTACTAACTCTTGCCTGTACTCCTGAACGACTGCTGAATTGAATCCGGTTGATCCATTTCCATTTCTTAAAGCCTTGCCACTTAAAAACTCCCAGACAGAAAATCTGATTCAAAACGGCTACTGATACTTTGTATAATCCTCGTGCCATTCGTTATACCCAAAAAGTAGTCCTTTCCTACAAAGAATTCCACGATTTTCCACTCTTTTAACAAATGCTGCTCACCATTTGGTGCTATAGATTTTACCGTCAGAGAGGAAACTAAGTTTACTGTGACAGCCTCATTATCATTTCTAGATTGGTGCTCTACGTCATATTTTGCTGGGAAGAGAAATTTATAGCAAGGATTGGTAAAAGAACAAAGCAACATGTTTCTTAAGTTGGTGGCTCACAATACTGAATTTTCGCCAAACGATTGGTGGTAAAGAAACGGTATCGAGAGAGACGAGTACACAATGTAAGGTGTCTGTATGCAGTGAACTCACTACGATGTTCCTGATAACTAACCATAAAAAGATCAAATTTTGACTTTTTAATGATAATGTTTTATTGATCAAAGAATACGCTCCAGTTTGTTTGCGAAAAAAATTCAAAACATTACTGCGTTACTTTCCTCAAAATTATTAGATTTTATATAATTTTTGTTGTATCGTGAGATCAAACTTTGTAGCTTGTTGACCAAATGTCTACTCTAGATCACCTGTATTACGTTATTATTGGTTTTTAAGTTCTGTAGGGTTCTTGTATCATCGTTATCATTAAGTTGCTCTCATCACTACTGCTGCAAGAATCTGCTCTTCTACTTCAGCGGTCGTTTGCAACAAAGCCAGCTACGCATTCATTTTATTGATTAAATAATTCTGTTTTTGCCCATTTCGCTTGTAGAGTTCCATGTTATTTTTTCTTACTTGCCCAATAAGATGTAGAGAAAAACATAAAAATTTTAAAAAATTGATTTTTTATTAAAAAAATTATTGTTAAGTCTTCATCCTCTTTCTCCTTTGAGGTTAAATTAGATTTTTACACGTTCCCAAATTTTAAATTCAGACTGTCATGATTGGCGGAAATTTAAGCCCCTACCAAATCTTCACCAAAAAATTATATCTGAAAGGATTTTTGTTGAAAGATCCTCTAAAATCAAAATGTTTGTAGCCCAAAACTTGCAACTATTTGAGAATTACTCAAAGGTATCTATACTGATTAGCGTGGTGACTTATTCCAAAACAGATCAAGTTGTAAGCTTACAGCGTGACATACGAACAATTAACGAAAGTTTATAAAGCATCTTGTAACCATAAAGTTAAACAATAAACAATAGCCAAGAAACAATTAACGATAATACTCTACATTACAAATAATTTAATTGCTTTTTCGCTGCAAAGAAATAATCTTATAATTGGGACACAGAAGTCGAGGTTTTATAAGGAGCTTAATTCAGTACTCAAAAGGAACTATGGCGCTTAAGGCCCTTTCTATAGATCTTAAGGTTTAATAGAGGCCGGCCTTGCAGGTCTTTTGAAGCCCGTCTCAATCAACTTGGCCTGATTTAAAAGCAATAGTGAGAAAGTCTTAGCTATCGCAAAAAGACTAAAAGCCGAAAAAACTGTCAAGGAAATTGATGAGATTTCTGGCGAGGTTTAACGAAATAACAATTGATTCAAGCAAATTTATTATTTTTTATAGCGGCAACTCTCTTTCGTAAGCCAACTTCAGGAAATGTGGTAACTTTAAGCATGGAGAACGTTTTCATGAATATTTATAAAAAAGTTGATTATGACCTTTTCCAGATATTTAAA